GGTTTGGCCGCTCCAAGGGTCGTCCACGGCATCTGCAGCATCCAATCCTCCCTCCACAAGGGTCCCTCCTGACTACCGTCGTCGTCATCGTCTCACCCTCTAGGCTTCAATCCTCCTCGCCGCACTCGCACACACATACACGACTGTCGGTTCGGATCGATCCCAATACCCGTCACAATGTCGGCCCCAGCAAACGAAAAGACGACGCCCATCACCTTTGGTGCCACCATTGAGCGCTCCACGAGCCCAAGCCAATGCCGCCCTTTGATCTCTGAACCCGAACCCGAACCCCAGCATCCCCTCCGCACCCACCCTTCGCACGACTCCAACATGTCCTCAACCACAGCCGACGCCGCAGCCAAAAAAGAATGGGCCGCCGACCCCTCGAACCCCTACTCCGCCTTCTTCGACGCCAGCGCTCCCCAATCCAAGTCACATCTCGACGTCAAGGTTCACGACCTCGAAATGGGCGCCAATGGCGTCCCCCTCAGCGTAGCGTCTACACAACAGCCCAAGGTCTCGGTCGATGGCCGTGTCAAGGAGTGCTCCATGTGGCCCTCGAGGCAGGCCGTCATGGACAAGCGCAAGTCGTACCAGCGCAAGCGTGGCTGTGCCTTTTTCCGCAATTTGACCAACAAGCAGAGAATGTGGGCTAAGATCGTCATCGCTCTTCTCGTCGTCGCTGCTGCCGTCGGCCTCGGCGTGGGCATCTCGAGGGCCGTGGGTGGAGGGGTTTGGGCGGGCAATGGCAAGTCCAAAGAGATTCCCGGCTCACATCCTTGAATGGAGAAACGGACTGGGAGAAATGCAATTTTGGTCACTGGTGAGTTTCCCTCATCTACCTGTACGGCTATGAGCAAGACACTAACGTCACATGAAGAGCCATCGCATCACAACGATTCGGTCCCAACAACAACAACAACATCACACTATAACGACTTTTGCATCGACTTGCCTTCAGCACACACACACACACACATTATTTTGTCAATATCCCTTGTCAGCTGCTTCGTCCATTGTTTTTCTTTTCCCAAACCCAGGCATGATGTGTATAGCCTTTCTCACCTGCCTGTGTGTGTGTGCGCTGTATTCTGTTTTTGCATTTTCTCACCACCGGATGCCTACCTCGACTTGAGCGTCTCCGGCGTACACGGACCAGGGCGTACATGGACTTTTGCTTCTCTGCATGATGCTTATGCATCTGGAGCAATAGGCGTAATAGGACTTTTTTTCGTGAACAGGGTTTTGCTGGCTATCTTCTCTATATATATCTTTTCAAGGACGATGGGAGAGCATGTTGAGATGAATGGAAAAGAACAGAGTTCGGCCTTTGCGGATTGGCAAAGGTCATGTCCAAGTGCGCTTTTTACGCCGTGTCTTTGGGTTGTCGGGTGATATTTTCATGTTTTGGTTCTTTGGAATGCCCACAAAGCCCACGAAAGCTAGTATGAGTCTAGCTTGTGTGAGCAACTTGTTCAAAAGGATAGAATCCAAGTCCTTGAGGATTGGCACTACGCTGCGACTCATCTGTTAGTCTACACAATCTTCATTTGGTGTACGCTGCTGGGATCCATCTTTGGATCACTGGACTGTCTGGACACTTACCCAATGGCCTGCGCTAGTCCTCATGTAGTCGCCACGTTCAGCGCCCCCCCCCCTCAGCGCGCCGTTCTCAAGGGGAACCTTGGTTGGCGAACAAGGAACATCATCCGTTCATCTATCGTTCTGTTCTTCTCTGCCTATCCCACGGCTTCATGTCTTCTGGCTTCCTCTGGCTCCCTCTACAAAACAAGGCTGCAACTACTCATGTGGCCAAACATGCCGCCGCGACTGCCTCGTTTGGGTGCGGCGGCAAGGGGCCATAAACGATAGCCTGACGTCACGCGCATTCGAAACTCGAGTGCTGCATCCACGTCTACCTACATGACCACACCTTGGCCGCTAGTTGTGTCACAATCACGCTGAACAAACAAGTCTGGCATTCCATGTCCACGATGGCCACCTAGAATCGCCTCCCTTCTTCTCGGGCTATACCATCCTTCCGCCCTCCACAAAAATTTGGCCAACATGGATGCGCCTGTATCGCGCGAGGTGCCGGGCATGTCGAAACAGACGTCAAATGGGATTCCTGGCGCAACACCGCCTACACGGGAGCGGGAAGTCTCGAGCACAGTTCTTCCCAATACCTTCCTAGCCGTCACCATCCTATCTGCGCTGACCCTGTCTTGGCCGTTGCGTTGGCTCCTATCCGGCGCACCCATTCTCGTCTACGCTGTAGTCCTCGGCGAGGCGTACGGCCACCGCATCTTACCTTTTGTTCCCGTTTGGACGATGTTCGCCACAGTCAACCTCGTCTACGCCATTTGCTCAACCTCTTGGCTCCTCTACTGGGTCTTTTGGGCCTCCTGTTGGCCCGCCATCTTGATTGCCTGCCTGTTCCAATTCGATGCGCCTGCCCAACTCGCCCGACGCACATTGAGAAAGACATTTCTGCGAGAACTTCACTTTATAAACGATCAAATCGCCTTTTTCGACCTGCCTGCACTCGAGATTGACACGGAAGTCAAAGGCCTGTTCGTCATACGTGGCTTCACGCTCTCGCTGTCCACTTTGACGCTCGAGGTTCATGGCGTAGAAGCTGGGATCAAGCTTGCGGACGAAATTGAGTTGGCCATCCAAGTCGACAAGGTTATTGTACCGTTGTTCAGGGAGATCGTCGTCGACGATGTCTATGCCAACGTCAAGGGCGGTGACTGGGAAGTCATGTTTGGAGACGTCAAATATGGTCAACCTGAGCCCGACGACGATGACTCGGTCATCATTAGAGATACGGCCATCCTGAAAGCAGCTTCCAAAGGCGCCCGGGGTCGTCCCACAGAGATGGTCAGGAATTTGACGGCCGGAAAGCCGCCATCGGAAGCAAAGGACGCAAAGTCGGCCTTTGCATCTGTCAGGCAGGTTTCGGCGAATGAACGAGATGCTACTGTCAAGTACAATGACCTGGTCCGTCACATTGACGATACGAGTGCCATCACGAATGCGAAGAAGACGCTTCGTGAGGCTGCAAAGGCGCTCAACGAGTCTTCGTCAGAGGACGGAAAAGACAAGGAGCGAGAGAGGGACGGACATTTGGACACGGAGAACATGGATGACTTTCGAGCCGCCATTTGCACACAAATCCACGGCCAGCCGTCGATACCCCACCCTCCATCAAAGTCCATTCGTGTATCGACTCTTCGCAAAACTTCCTATCCCCAAGTGAAGGCATTCCTACATCGACTCCCATTTCTGTACCGCCTTATGCTCAGTCCGATCTGCTACTTTCATCCGGTCAAGTTCAAGTCGATTACTGCAGCTGGATCTGGCAAGTGGTTCACCCACTTGATGCGACAATACCTCTTCAAGCATTACTCTTCGCAAGACGCAGATGTGCGCCGGCTCGAGGCCCGCATCTCAGAATGGTGTACGGACGCGAACTTTGCGGTCGAGTTCGGACCTATGCAAAGCGAGGCTCACTTTCCAATCAACACAAACTACAACATCCAATGCCATTTAAAGATCTCTGACGTCATGGCGTACAGGACTCTTCCCAATGGTGTTGAGCTCAAGCAGGTTGTCCGGCTGGGAGGGGCCGATGCCGTCCTCACCATTCCCACGTACCTCTTCCCGCATCACGAACACATCTTTCCGAAGATAGCCAGCGACTTTGAGATTCTGGAAATGGAGTCGGCTATCAAGGAGGTCGAAGGCACGCCCAAGGAAGTCCGGGCCCGCAAGGAACTCCAGAAGCGAAAGAAGGACGAATCGGCCATGCACATCAGTGCCCATGCGCACCTACCTGCACAATTCCATCAGGATCTCCTCAACTTTGTTGCCGCCATTGTCAAAGCAACCAAAGTCATCGAATCGGACAAGGACTTTGAGGAAGCCAAGGTGTTGCGAGAGCTCAAGCGTGTCAGCACTGATAGCGAAGCCAGCAGCCTCTCCTCGCTCAACACCAACGGCACCAACAACACGGACACTACGCAAACATCGCTGACGTCAGAGGAGCGAGGCTTCAAGGCCTTTCTCAAAAAGGTGGACACGGGCTTCAAGGATGCGTCGAACAAGACGGTTGTCGGCATGCGCAAGGCCGGGCAGAGCACCGTCAGCGCCATGGCAAACGATCGCTGGATTGCACGGCTCGTTGGCAAAGTCACGCGCAAGCTTGAGCGCGCTCAGGGCGAAGTCGGATACAGTGGCGAAGTTCCTATTCCGTTGGCTAAGTACCGCGTCAGGTTTGAGACTGAGACGAAGCTGTTGCCGTGAGAAGAAGAAGCATCATCATCATCATCATCGATTCATCATGCAAGGCGTTGAGGCGTTGGAATACCACAGTGTCTGGATAGATGGATGGATACCCGAGTTGGCTCGCACAGCTGAGCTGTATGAATGCGACATGTGACATGCAACATGCATATCTATCGAGACTCATTCTCACATTGCCCAAAAACAATATCCCTCGAGCTCTTCACACGACTTGACTACTAGTGATGTATGTACTTATCCCACACAAAAGCGCTTCCTGTATCCCGGGCTCAGGCAGCCGGGCTTGACAGGGATTACCAGGGCATGCCATGCCATGCCATGCCGTGCCGCATCGGCTGTGACGACTTGGCGCAGAACACGGAGAAGAATTCCATGTGGGTAAAAGTAGATACGGCTGCCGTGCGCGCACGCGTGCCTTTTTGCTGGGCATTTGCGCAACTGGGTGTGTGTACTGGCATGGGTCTGGGATGGTCGGTATACCACACTTCTGCCTCCTCTGCCCTTTTTCTCTCGTTCGATCCCTCACTTGCCTACACGCCACTGTCGCTTCGATCTTTTTATCTGATCGCGCGCTTATTGCTAGCATCCCTGGTTCTCGGTGCTCGGTTCGCGGTTCGCGGTTCTCGGTCCTTTGGTGTAGATCTTAGATTTCGGCGGTTTTTTGGGGGGGAAGGGGAGCGTGGTGTCGCCGTCTTGCCGCGTTGCTGCCGGGCGGAGCTGAGGGTTTGGTTATGGGTATGGGTGTCGGTGTCGGTGTCGGTGTGGATGGGGATGGGAAAGGGGATGGGAATGGGAACGGAAGGGATTTGGAGCGTGGTGGACTGGGAGTCTCCGCGACTGCATCTGCATCTGCGTCGTCTGATTGTACATTAGATGGTAATGCGCCCAGGACCTCAATCACTTCTCCATCAACACCACACACACCCCACCACCACCACCACCACGATGAGAACCCCGCGCCAAACTACGCACCACCACCATCACCACCACCACCCGCTCTGCCCCTCTGGCACGCAGCCGGGGAAAAACTCCCCGCCCCGCTTGTGCGGCTGGTGAACAAGACGACGCGCTGGATGCGAGGCCCCGAGCCGCCGCGCAGACATCGCCTTGTGCCGTTCAAGGCACGTGTGCAGACCGCGCCGCGAGACTTTTTGCATGGGCTCTGGTGGGGGTGGCGGTGGGTGTTGTTTGGGCTGGCGTGTTTGGGCTGGTGTGTGGGATTTGGGGTTCTAGTGGGCGAGGATGAGGATGCTGCTGGTGTTGGGGGATTGGGGGTGGTGAGGTTGGGGTGTGTGGATAGTTTGTGGTATGTTGTCAGTCAAGATGCATCCCCCCATTCCCACATCAATCTACAGCGAAGTGTACTAATCGTTCATCTCGAGATAAACAGGTCGTCGGCGGAATACTGTGGCCTTGACGGACGCAATTGTCTCCCTTTTGATAATGCCTCGTTTGCCTTTTCCTGCCCGGCCAACTGCGCGAGCGCCATGGTGCTGAATCCCCGGACGGTGGGTAATCAGAGTTACAACTACCGCTCGCTTGTCATCGGAGGCCCTTTCTCGCCCGACCCAAATGATGCCAGTGCCAGTGTGAGTAGCACGTCGTGGAGATATCGCGGCGATTCCTTCATCTGCGGCGCCGCCATACACTGGGGCTCCGACATCAGCGATAAAAAAGGTGGATGTGGCGTGCTCACGCTCAAGGGGGCTCAAATAGGCTTTGCCTCCAGTCTCCGCAACGGTATCCGCTCAATCCCGTTTTATGGCGAGTTCCCCATGAGCTTCGAGTTCAGTGGGATGAGTGGGGGTGGGTGTGAGGATCCGCGGTGGAAGTTGCTCGCCCTGTCCGTGACGATGACAGTGCTGTTTGGCGTCTTCACCACTCGTCCTGCGACCTTCTTCGCCCCGCTGTTTACCATCTTGTTCTTCCAGGTGGGCATGGCTTCCGATCCCCCGGCGTACACGACACGTGCGGATCTGGCTTCGACGGCCCTGGGACGGTTCCTGCCCGCGGCTTTGATCGCAGTGGTCATGTATCGCATCAGCATCGCCCGCGCGCTCAAGGGCTGCACCGCACACCTGGAAAAGACGATCCTCTGGGTCGGAGGCGCATGGGTGGGCGCCCTGAGCAACTACACCTTCGACCAGATACCCATCCAGCGGCTCACCGGCCACGACCTGCGCCAACAACCCGGCGCCATCGCCGCCCTCGTCATCATCGTCCTCATCCTCTTCCTCGTCGCAATCTACCAGGCCTGGTGCTTCCGATTAGAAGGCCGGCTCCCGCACTACCTCGCCATCTACGCCTGCCTAGGCGTCAGCCTCGCCATCCTCGCCGCACTCCCCCATCTCCACCTCCGCATCCACCACTACATCCTCGCCCTGCTTCTCCTCCCCGGCACAGCCATGCAGACCCGAATCAGCCTGCTGTGCCAGGGCCTACTCGTCGGTCTATTCATCAACGGCGTCGCACGCTGGGGTTTCGCGCCCATCCTCGAGACGGCAGCGGCGCTGCGTGCCGACGCCCAACTCGGCTCCGCACTCCCGACCATCATGCCCCCCGTCCTCGACCCGGCCTCCATCTCCTTCACCTGGGACACGCCGGCCGCGGGCTGGGACGGCGTCAGTGTGCTCGTCAACGATGTCCAGCGCTACCTTGGCAACTCCGGTTTCACCTGGTACCGCAATTCCAGCACCGTGGATGGCCCAACGGCGGCTTTGCTGCGCGCTCAACCCGGTGTTGAAGTTGGCACGGCGTTTCGCTTTGGGTTCTTTAGATATCTTCCGTTTGGCAACATGGCGTTTGGGGATTATACGCGCGCGGGCGTTTGGTTTGCTAATGGTTCGTGGTCTGAGATTCCTCTGGGTCGCACTTGAGATTTGGGATTCTACAAGATCTAATACCAGATACCGTGTGGTCTCAATACAAAGGCTGCGTCCGCGGCGTCATGAGGGGGAGCTTTGTGCTATATTATTCTCCTCTGCGGCGGTTCCATGAGAAGATCCATGTTAACTCCGCTGACCATGCCGGCGAAGTTGAATCGTTTGATCCTTGACATCCCGTCCCTATCCATATCCCTGTTCGAAGGAGAAAAAGAAGAAGGAGAAGAAGAAACACGGGGCTGGATGGCGAATATTGTGGAGGTATGGATTTATTCTCCGTCGGCCATGTTACTCGCACATGTACATGTGTAACTTTTCATCATGAAACACGACACACAAGAAGAAGAAATATTTGCGTCGGCGCCGATGCTGTGGTACCTCGAACCCCCCCGAGCACAGTGCAATGCAGTGCAGTGCATTGCAGCTCCACATGTCGTACCATGGTACCGCTGCCCAAGCACCCGACTTCCGACCTTTTCGAGCGGCGGTATTGTCTAGACGACGAGGGGGCGTGACTAGAATACGTGGTGCAGTTTGCTCTGAGGATTTGGTGTGTGTTTTTCTGCGAGCTGGGGTTGGGTATATACACACGCACGCAGGCATACGCATATACATTTACATTTACATACACATACACGCACATCATCTCACGACCCCAACTATGCGTCCCCCGACCCCGCTCACTCTCACTCTCGCACTCACGCCCCTCCTCCTCGTCACCACCACCACCGCCGCCGCCGCCGCTGCTGCTGCTGCTGCAACTACGAATGCAACTGCAGATGTAAACGTAAACATCAACGTAAACACGACTGCAAATTTAAACGCAAACGCAAACACAAACACCACACCCCAGCGCTTCTCCGTCCCCGTCCGCGACCCCACCTGCTCAATCGACGTCTACACCGAAACGGTACGGCTGGTGCTGGGCCAGTATACGACGAGGCGGCGGGTGGTGTACGAGACGGACAAAGCCATGTTGGCGGATGAGTATGATGGGGTGATGTATGGGTTTGGGTTGAGGTGGGGGGATAAAGGGAGGGGTGAGTTTATTTATTCTTACTATTTCTGTGGGGGTTGGTTTTTTTGGTGTTTTGCCAGGTGTGGGCTAGCTGCCAATCGTAGATTCCGCACAAGACATGTCTACCCGGATGTTGCATACGGTACTGACGCGTCGAGTAGAATGCCGCGCTCGTGTTGGAGATATGAATGTTTATTATCATGGGGTTGCGCGGCCGGGCGGGGTCTATGTGGTTGATAGTAGTGAGGAGCAGAGTGTGAATGGGCGGGCGGCGCATGACTGTCTAATGGACTATTTTACGGCCATGTTGGTCGAGGAGTTGGGGTGTGCGGTTAATGTGCAGGCGGATAGAGGGGATACGTGAGGGTTTGTGGGGTGAGGGCTCAGAGGGAGAATGGAGGCGAGGGAAAGAGGTGATGGTGTTGGAGTGGCTGGGTGGATTGAGGTGTCTTTGGGGGGGAGGTTCGAAGTAATGTTTTGCCGTTTGGGAATGTTTGGATAAGGTCTGGATGATGTTGGATTTGATAGACGCGTAGCACCGCTTTGACACGGGACTTTTTATCAAGAGCCGTCTTTGAGCGCTGTTTTCGGTCCACTTCAGAAAGTATCAATATTTGTTTGAACATTTCCTATGCGTCATGGGAACTTGTTCTTACAGTACTCGGCCGATGCGTAGTGCTACTGCTTTGATGTTTGCCCCTGCTTGAGAAAACCATCATGGACTGCTTCCGTGAAGAGTGAATCATTAGGTATTGTTTCTTACGCTGAATACATGGCAATCTCAATCACATGTCCGGCGCTGTACACAAGGGGTGACCTCGAGGGTTGGGGTAAGCTCACATGACCTTCGGTACTATGTGACCTTGGAACCATGCCCGTTCACAACTGCTAGGGGTAATCGACTTGTACAATTACTGTCATTAGTAAGCTTTATTTCATTCAGACTGGACACATCTACCCACGGGGATTAGGAAGAAGCTGGGACCGTACGGCAACTGCAGATGCCTCAGTCGTAGTAAGTGAAAGCAATCTTGTTGGCTACGGTGTAGAAGAGAACAACATGACAGCTTGAAGAAATGCCCATGTGGTCAAAGAGACGCTGATATCTTCCCCATAATTGACCCATGTGCTTATTGCCATCGTTGAGAGGACGGTCCGAAACTGCAAGAAGCTCAAGCTGACAACCTATGCCCAGCGTCCTGTGTTGCGATCTTGAAATGCGCCGAGCATTAGCGTCCATTCCCCTCTTCATTGACTGCAAGCCAAGGAAAGCATCTCATGTTGATGTGGTAATACAGAAGAGCGGTACGGATTGGAGTGCAGATGGTGAGGTAGAATGGTGGGGCGCTGTCGGAAGGGGTCTCCTTAGCGTGATGGCTAGTAGCAACTCCCTTACTTCTCCCCGCTAACTCAGGCTATCAAGACGACGCTCCATCTATGTTGAACCGAAAACTTGTGTCTCGGATCAATTCTATAAAGTTGGCATGTTCCATCAATTGCACGTCTTACCCCATGGCTTATATCGGACCATAGCCAATATCAACCAAAGGCCAAGTCATGACAAACTCTGTCGTTCCGAATCATTGGGTTGAACAGATCGACAAAGGATCCACGAGAACAGGAGACAGCCGTTCGGAGATTGAACTCCGCCGGTAATCACTTTCCAAGCCGTATAGTAGTGTGTAGGTATAGTTTCTTCCTCCGAGAAACCCATGTTGGTCCGATCGTTGGGGAAGATGAAGATGTGGGGTCATCTTCTCCGCAATGTGGGGAACCCCTGTGTCTCCAAATTTCGCCTCATGGATTGATCATGACTCGTATGGGAGGCCAGATGCCTACTCCTGCAGAGTACATAATGTATACGCGTCTCAAAGCAATGTTCTGACAACTGAATCCATCACAACTATCACAATGCCGCCCATCTCAGCCTACATCGACAAAGAGTACCAATCCACACACTACACTCTCTTCAAAGATTCCATCACAGTCCCTTTGAATTCGGTCCTTCCTCCTGGGGTCACGAAAGCTTCTTTCGACAGGGCAATCCAAAAGTACAGAGATGTGGTAGGCAAAGAGCAGGTATATCATGGCGATGATTTAGTGGAATACATTGATCCATACGAGTTGCATGAGGCGGAGGGCACTCGTAAGATTCCCAGCGCAGCTGTACGACCACAAAACATCGAAGAGTTGAAGGGCGTCCTGAAGATCTCCAACGAGTTCGGCATTCCTGTATGGACTTTCTCAAGAGGAAAAAACCTTGGGTAAGTCATAACGTCCACACGGATCCTACCGACTAACGTGCATCGATCAGATATGGCGGCCCGGCTCCTCGCGTTACCGGCTCCATTGCTCTCGACTTGCACCGCATGAACAAAATCATCGAAGTCAACGGCGAGTACTCTTATGCCGTCGTCGAACCTGGCGTAACTTTCAGAGAATTGTATGAATACTGTGTTACGAACAAGCTCAACGTCTGGCCATCCTGCCCATCCTTAGGCTGGGGCTCCGTAGTCGGAAATACGCTTGATCGCGGCGTAGGCTTCACGCCCACCGCAGCACACCATCAACACATTGCAGGCGTCGAAGCCATGCTTGCAAATGGCGACCTCGTGCGAACGGGGCAATTCGCCGTCTCAAATTCGCGGTCAGCCCATTTGTCTAAATTCACATTCGGCCCCTCCATCGAAGGCCTCTTCATACAATCCAACCTGGGCATCGTCACCAAAATGGGCATCTGGCTCACGCCTGCACCTCAAGCTTACATGTCCGTCACATTCGACATGCCCGACTTTGAAGACGTCGAGACAATTGCTGATATCTTCGGACCCCTCCGCCGCGATGGCCTCATCCCCAACACAGTCTACGTCTCCAACGTAACAGAATGGCTCGGCATGATTGGGCGCCGCGAGGACTACTGGCCACACCAGACGCCGATTCCAGAATGGCGCATCAAAGAGCTGCAGAAACAATACGACCTGGGGTACTGGAACGCAAAATTCGGACTCTACGGTGCAAAAGACGTGATTCAAGCCCATTTTGACGAGCTCAAGAGGATCATCAACAGAAAGACCAGCAAGGGACGGCTCATCGGCAAGATATACTCTGCACCCGAAGGAGAAACCCTAGACCCAACTTCGGTCCCCGAAGTAGACGGCGGATTCTTCGTTGGCATCCCCAGCCTCTGGTCCCTGCCCATGGTCAAGTTCCGCGTGCCCAAAGAATCCGCCGAACAACCGAAGCCAGGCGTGGGCGCCCACTACGACTACTCCCCCATCATCCCCTCGCGCGGCTCCGAAATCTTCTCCTGGATCAAAACGGCCCGGGAAATCTGTGAGCGGGAAAATTTCGACCTCTTTTGCGACTTCTTCATGCATGAGCGGCACGTCATTTTTGTGAACATGTTTACGTTTGACAAGACGAATGCGGAGCATCGGCGCGCCGTGCAGACTATTTTCGATGGCTTGTTCGAGGCTGGCAAGAAGAGGGGTTATAGCAAGTATCGCAGTCATGTTAACACTATGGGTAAGTCTTCTCCCCCTTGAGAAAACCCGTTGGTCGGGTGATTGCGTGATTGTGTGCTGACTGGATATATAGATCGTGTGGCTTCGTTGTATGATTTCAATGATCATGCTTACAGGAGGTTTGTGGAGACGATCAAGGATGCTGTGGATCCGAATGGTATTCTTTCGCCTGGGAAACAGGGCATTTGGCCCAAGAGGTTCAGGGAGAATGAGAAGTTGAAGGCAAATCTGTGATTTAGTTCATGTTCGCAGAAAAAGGGAAAATTGGACAATCGAGAACAGGGGAGTTTATCGGTCGAGGTCTGGAAGATTGGAGAATAGTCCCCTCGGCAAAACTTGAGTTCATCGTGGGAATGGATGTACATGGAGTCACTGAGGTGGATTTCCGCAACACAATAATCTATTTGGTCATGGTACTTTTCCATAGCGATCTACTACCCATTCACACCGCAAAGCCCCCACTGTTAATCTGCCTGGGCTCACCGGCAGCCTCAAACGTCCCGTTCTTCAACAACCTCAGTCCCTGCGCTGAACTGCCCGCAGTAGCAGACCACGTCACATTCGCGCCCAAGCCTTGCAAGAACGAGGTCGTAGAATTGTCAAAGGCATACTCAAAGGACACCTGTGGCGGAACAAGCTGATCATGCATCCTGGGTTGAGCCAGGGCTTCAGCAGTCGTCAAACCACCGTCAAGAATGTGAATCAGGTTTTGAATGGTGGCAGTTATGATACGGCTGCCGCCCGCTGCGCCAATGGCAACATAGAATGCGTTGACGGTGGCGTTGAGGTGTTCGACAATCACGGGTGTGATGGAGGACAAGGGGCGTTTTCCCGGTCGAACAAAGTTTGCGGGGCTGGGGACGTAGCCAAAGGCGTTTGTGGCACCGGGGATGGAGAAGTCGTTCATCTCGTTGTTCATGATGACGCCGGTCTCGGGTACGACGAGCTTGCTGCCAAAGAGAAGGTTGACGGTCGACGTGAGTGTGATGGCCATGCCAGATCTGTCTGCAGTGACCACATGCGCAGTTCCGGGTGTTTCTAGGGATTCGAGACCTGTAGGGTTGTAGTAGGTTATATCAAAAGTTTTCGAGTCGCTGATCTTGCTGCGGATTTCTTTTGCGGTGGCTTCGGACACCATTTGCTCTTGGTACTTGTCCAGGCCTTTGACGAAGAGGGGATCGCCGAGATTGGCGCGCATGCCATAGGCAAATTTCAGGCTCTCGTCCAGGCGGTGCGTGGTGAGATTGCGGTTCTCTGGATCGCCGACTCCAGTGTAGCCCTCCATGATCTTGAGACTAGTCAAAGCAACCCCGCCACTACTGGGTGCGCTGCATGCAGTGAGTTTGTAGTCGCGGTAAGTGATAGTAGACGGTTTGCGGATGGCGACTGTGTAATTCTTCATGTCTTCCAAAGTCATGATGCCTTTTGAGGCCTGCAGGGCTCTGACAGTAGCTTCTGCAATGGGTCCGTTGTAGAATGCGTCAGGCCCCTCGTTGGCGATTGTCTCGAGTGTGTCGGCATAACGCTTGAGAGTGATGGTCTCGTTCAGCTTCAAAAGGCGACCGTGGGGTGCGAAGTCCTTTGCAAATTCAGGATTGTTTACAAGGAAGTTGGAAGTGGCGTTTTGTTTTGCGGCGGCAATGGCAGATGCCATGTAGTTGACGAGATCCTCGTTGACAGCCCAGCCCTCCCTCGCGACTTTGACTGCAGGCTTGAGGACAGTCGCCCAGGGCAGGACACCGTAATTCTCATGGAGATACTGCAGACCACGGACTTCTCCCGGGACGCCAGATGCCAGACCACCCTCTTCACTGGCCTTGGTGTTATTCTTGTACATGTCTTCGAAAGCAGCTGCAGGCGCAGTCTCTCGGTAGTCAATAAACTCATAAGTGCCATTCGGTGCTCGGACGAGCATGAAACCACCACCGCCGAGACCTATGAATGTTTAGTATGCTCACTGTGATCGTCGCCATTGTCTTATGGACTCACCCGCGTGGAACATGCCAACGACGCCAACACATGCGACCGTGCCGACCATAGCATCGGCAGCATTACCACCCATTTTCAACAGGTCAGTACCAATATGACTGCAAATCTCAGCCTCACTCGCGACAGCACCCAGCTCTCCCTCCTTCACAATCGGTGCCGGACTTGCCATTGCCGTCTGCAGCATCAAAAGCCCAGCCAGGCAGCTCGACAACCTCGTAGCGGTACCACGCGCCATTGTGATGATGAGTAGTCACGAAAAGTGAACGAGGAAACGATTTCACGCAGCAATGGTGAACAAAGAGTCCATGGTCAGCTGGGATTATATACAAAGTAAGCTACTAAGCATGGCCTTCCCGATGGCGTATACCGGTACCGGTAGGCCCCTGGTTCTTCCTCGGTCTGATTGGGCAGCGGTCCTACTATTTTCTTACCAGTGGGCCGGGAGCACGAGTACATCCCATGGTTCCAGAAGGCTTCCAGTTATCGTATCTATTGTAGGACTGTAGTATACTAGTTAGGTAGGCCGATCAGGATGCTAAGTTAGCATGTATTCTTTCCTATATCTGAGACACAGGACCTAATATTAGGTTGTGCAGAGCTGTTTTTATGCCGTGTAATTAAACTTCATACCCTTACCTAGTCCACCGAACTGAGAAAGAACACGCTTAACAGGACAACGTGCTGGTAGCTTGAAAATGCCGCATGCGTGAGACTGAATAACAAAAAAATTGCTTGTCAGTAATAAATGCATCCTGCCTGGCACTGACCATGGTACCAGTACTAATGTGCACCAGTACCTACTATACAAGAGTAATGCTAGCACGAGGGGCCGGTTCGAGCGTCACTTGCGGCTTACTTATGGTGTGACAAGTTCCCAACACCCTAGGAACAACTTTGCGACAAGTACTCATATCGCGCAAGTTATACTAAATTTGTAGGAAATGTATATGGGCACGGCAGCGCAAGAGCCTTGTATGTATCATCACCATGTCGAAAGCAGGCTGGACAGGAAGAAATGGCCGCACAGCGGGAGGACGGGGATCCAGATAACGGTACCGGTACACAAGAATCTATAATAGGTACCGGTACGGTAGCTCAACACTTGCTCACCGTAAGTACCCAGAGATCGGCAATGTTTCCCCGCTTCGTTTCTAGTTCGTTGTGCAGTGTCCGCGGCAAGTGGTAACTATAGAGAGGTTCGGTTGGACACGGAAGGTTTCGAGTGCGCGCTGCGCTTGATGACATCTTCCCGTCACCTTTTCTTTATACCTAGGATCAAGGAAGCGATTGGTGAAAGCTACAGTGACGCATGTGCATGGTGGATCTTTGTTTGACGGCGACTTTGTAGATCGCTAAGTCGATACCATGTTGCTATGGAAATGAACCATTTTCATTCATATAGCGATTCTTGATAAATTACATTATAATCGGTAGACTTGGAGGATTCATGGTGTTGTAATCATGTGACTTCGTGATGTCAAAGGTCGCGTCGCCTCGCGCGTCCTTCTCTACACGTCAATCGCGCCATCATCCCAAACCGACCGACCGCCACAATGGCGCCCAAAAACAGTCAATCGCTACTGAGCTCTTCGCAGAAGGGCAAACAACAGACTATCTCGAGTTTCTTTGCGCCGAAATCATCGCAGACACCCAAACCTGCGCCAACACCTAACTCGACTACAAAACCCGTTGACAAGCCTGTAGCGCCCATCGAACCTGATAGCACAAAACCTCCAAGCGACGATGACGAAGACGAAGACGAAGGACTTCCACTGTCACGGCCTCTACCGACTCGGAAGCGCGCAGTGGTCATACATGACGAAGATGACGATTCAGGGCGCTCTTCGCCCTCGAAGCGCGTGCGCCTCGCAAGTGAAGACTCCCCACGACAGACGCTAGGTCAGACGTCTACGACCGATCTCAACATACCGAAGCCTCCCAAAATTACAGATAGAACTGCCAAGTTTCTGTTTTCATCATCACAGCCAGCACAGGACGAAAACGGCGGAGAGGAGGCTACAGCGGCTTCGCAGAAGCAAAGGCAAAAGCTGCACGAGAAGTTTGTGAAGAAGCTCGGGCGACCAGACAGCTTTGCAGAGTTGAGGCGAAGGAACAAGATAACTGCGGACGAGAATGTCAATGCAGAGGAGGGTGAGGCCGACGAGGACGAGGATGAAGAGCCAGCCCCAAAGCCAGTGAAGGGCAAAAAGGGCGCTGCTACAAAGAAGACTACAAAGCTGACACCCATGGAGATGCAATATTTGGAAATCAAGAGGAAGCATCTCGACACAGTCATAGTCATGGAGGTCGGCTACAAGTACAAGTTCTTTGGCGAGGACGCCCGAACGGCATCCAAGGAGCTAGGCATCGTATGCATACCAGGGAAATTCAGATACGACGAACATCCTTCCGAGGCGCATCTCGACCGATTTGCTTCTGCAAGCTTTCCCACACATCGTTTACAAGTCCACGTTAAACGGCTCGTGCAAGCAAACCACAAAGTTGGAGTGGTGCGACAAATCGAGACTGCAGCGTTGAAAGCGGCTGGAAATAACAGAAACGCGCCTTTCGTTCGGAAGCTCACCAACCTCTACACAAAAGGCACCTATGTGGACGATGTAGAGGGATTGGAGACATCTACAGCAGGTGCAGGCGCAGGCGCTCAGTCCACTGGGTACCTGCTGTGCATCACTGAAACGAACGCCAAAGGCTGGGGCAGCGATGAAAAAGTGCATGTCGGATTAGTCGCTGTTCAACCCGCCACGGGCGACATCATTTACGATGACTTTGAAGACGGCTTCATGCGAAGTGAAATTGAAACCAGGATGCTGCACATCGCTCCAGCCGAGTTCCTTGTGGTCGGTGATCTTTCGAAAGCTACAGACAAGCTCATCCAGCATCTTTCTGCAAGCAAGACAAATGTCTTCGGTGACAGATCTCGTGTGGAGCGAGTCGAGAAGCCAAAGACCATGGCAGCACAGGCGTATAGCCACATCTCCAATTTCTATGCTGGAAAAATGAAGTCAAGTCAAGGGGGCGATTCAGAATCGGATCAGCAAGGTGCTATCCTTGATAAGGTTCACCAGCTCTCTGAACATGTTACGATATGTCTATCGGCTATGATCACTTATCTAACCGACTATGGTCTGGAGCATGTGTTTGATCTCACAAAATACTTTCAACCGTTCAGCGCGCGGTCATATATGCTGCTCAACGGCAATACTTTATCCAGTTTGGAAATCTATCAGAACGCAACAGACTACACTGCGAAAGGCAGTCTTTTCTGGACTATGGATCGTACAAAAACACGCTTCGGACAGCGTCTTCTACGAAAATGGATCGGTCGCCCGTTGATTGACAAAGCAAGGCTAGAAGAGCGTATCGCTGCAGTGGAAGAGTTAAAAGAAGGCGAAAATACGATACCGGTCGACAAGCTCAAGTTCTTGTTGGGACGGATCAAGACGGACCTTGAAAAGGTGCTCATCCGAATATACTATAAGAAGTGCTCCCGACCCGAGCTCCTGGCCGCACTCCAGACGCTCCAAGACCTCTCCAGTCAGTATTTGTCATCAAAGACACCAGAGAAGAGTGGTTTCAAGTCGATATTGTTGAGCGAGGCCGTTTCGAATGTACCAAAGATCTACGAAGATGTGAACAGCTTCCTTGATCAGATCAATGCCAAGGCTGCGAAGGAGGATGATAAGTATTCCTTCTTCCGTGAAGAGCACGAGGCAGAAGACATCAACGATTTCAAGCTTAGCATTGCATCGGTGGAGGACGACCTCAACTCGCACAAGAAAGATGCCGGTGCAAAGCTTGGCAAGTCCAAGATTGACTATGTGACTGTGGCTGGCATCGAATACCTTATCGAAGTCAAACGCAAGTCTACGGAAGAGAAGAAAGTCCCCGCCTCATGGCAGCAGATATCCGCAACAAAGTCGACTCTTCGTTTCCATACACCAGAAGTCAAACGCATGCTGCAGGAACGCGATCAATACAAGGAGTCGTTGGCCGCCGCCTGCGATGCGGCCTTCATACGTCTCCTCGAAGCCATATCGTCCAAATATCAACAACTTCGCGACTGCGTCTCTTCTCTAGCAACACTCGATGCCCTTCTCTCTCTAGCCACACTAGCCTCCCAGCCGGGCTACGTGAAGCCAACCTTCACCGACAACGTCCAAATCGACATCACCGGCGGCCGGCACCCCATGGTCGAGCAAATCCTTCTGGACAGCTACGTGCCCAACGACCTCCACCTCTCCCACGACCACACCCGCTCCCTCCTCATCACCGGACCCAACATGGGCGGAAAATCGTCTTATGTGCGCTCAGCAGCCCTCATCGCCATCATGGGCCAAATCGGATCATACGTCCCCGCCACACAAGCCAAACTGGGCATGCTCGACGCCGTCTTCACGCGCATGGGCGCCTTTGACAATATGCTCCAGGGCGAATCCACCTTCATGGTCGAACTCAGCGAAACGGCCGACATTCTCAAATCCGCAACCCCACGCTCCCTCGTCATCCTCGACGAACTCGGCCGCGGGACGTCGACGTTTGACGGCGTGGCTATTGCCGAAGCCGTGCTTGACCATGTCGTTTGCGATTTAAAGTCGCTGACCCTGTTCATCACGCACTATCAGCACCTCGCTAAGCTTGAGAAGCGCTTCCCAGGCGGGCAACTGAAGAATGTGCACATGCGGTTTGAAGAGCGGGCGGGGGGTAAGGAGGTTGTGTTTTTGTACGAGGCGGCTGAGGGTACGAGTCATAGGTCGTATGGGCTGAATGTGGCGAGGTTGGCACGGGTCCCTGAGAAGGTGATTGCGGTTGCCGAGGTCAAGAGTCGTGAGTTGGAGGAGAGTATGGAGGCTTGTAGGATGGGCAACTTGTAAGTTGTTTTTGTTCCACGTTTTCTTTGAAGAGGTCATGCTGGAGGGGTGACGGTGTGAAAGTTGGTTGCTAACTTGTTGATGTAGGGCGAGGATGATGAAGGGCTTGTTGATGGAGGGGGGCGATGAAGAGAGTTTGGAGAAGCTGGTGGAGGGGATTGACCAGCTTTGATCATGGGCGGTTAGGGTGGCGTACAGTATACATTTTGTTTGCCGTGCTTGCTGGTTGTGGCAGCTGAAGTCTCAACAGGGCGATGTGGCATAAAAGGCTTGGGATGTGTGATCGCTCTTGAAATATAAGGTCGATACCAATATGGGACAGCGAAGCGCGATAATACGAATAATTAGTAGTAGGGAATGCTAGATGTGCATCTACATTGTCTATATTCTACATTTTGTTATGGGGTATATACTAGCTTCACGTCTAAGCCACCTTGTCTACTGTCAATGTCGCTTGTGCACCGTCTGCAAGGGCTATCAATCCACTAGACTCGATTTCCTTCTTCCATTTGTTACTCTCATATTTCGCCGTCACAATCGTCAACCTGAGTGCTGGCTCTTGCTCTTGTGTCTCTGGCTGTGCGAGCGGCACAGCAGTGAACGTCCAGCGGCCAAACGCCCAATTCAAGATATACCTCGCTCTGCCCTCGGTCGTGCTTAGCGTAGTGGGCATATCTGGATCCGAGGATTTTGGCGGCGTGGAAGCGTACAGGATGCCTTTTATCCTATAGACTTCGTCTTTGGTTGGGTCTTGAAGAAATCTAGCGAGCTTCTCCGTGTCCACCACTCCATCTCCGTTCAATATCACACTCAACACCTCGACCTCACTCGAATGCGCATGATTATGCTCCTTTTCCCCCTCGCCCAACAACGCCTCCCCCTCTGTCGACCCGGCCAGCCGCGCATCCAACCCAAACACAATCTCTTTGTCCACCCAACCCCTTGTACTTTTCGTCCGCGGAATCGGCGGCTCCACCTCGAGCGCGAGAATCCGATCCTCGACATCCTCCAACCGCCTCTCCCCAACGCCTTCCCACTTATTCAGCACGATGAGATCGGTAAACCTGGCCTGCATCTTGGCCGTCAGACTCGTGTCCTCGTAGCCATTCCAGTTCTCGACGTCGACGACGCTTAGCACGCCGTCGAGGACATAGGCGCCGTTTGTTTCCCGGGCTAGCCGGTTCACCTCCATAGCTAGGGTTGCGGGGAAGGCAGAGCCAGAGGTCTCGATGACGATGCGGTGGGGGTTGGAGAGGGAGGCTAGTTCGGCGAGGGCGGTGGAGAGTTGGCCGACGAGGTTGCAGCATATACAGCCGTTGAGGAGTTCGCGGACGGAGGATATGGAGGAGGAGGATGCGAGGGCCGAGTCGACGGGTAAGGAGCCGAATTCATTTTTCAAGAGGGCGAGTTTGTAGGAGGGTGGGAGTTGGGGGAGGAGGTTTAAGATTAGGGCTGCGGGGGAACAGGATGTTAGCTAGGGTCTCTTTTTTTTTGGAGAGGGGGAGGGGGAGAGAAGGTGAGGAGTCGTCCATGTGGTTTCGAAGTTGGCATCAGAAGTGGTGGCTTTGAACATTCCAGGATTGAGAATGGTGTCGGGTAGAAATCGATTCAATAAGAAGAGACCCCAATATCCAGGCAAACATACTCGTCTTTCCCGAGCCCAAGAACCCAGTGATGATAGTGATTGGTATGGGCGCCATCTTCCCTGATCCGCTCTATTCGCCGTCTCTAGTTCTGAAGCAATGGCGGGATACCTAGGTATCCAATCGAATAACCCACCAAAAAAGAAAAAACGAAGCAGGAAAGAACAGGAGAGAGTCAACAGCCAACCAAGCCAGCAAGCCAGCAAGGCCGGCGTGATATCCCGCCTAATCGATAAGATAAGCCAGCCCTTGCCGGAACCGATACCGGTACCCCTGCACTCCCTCAGTCAGTCAAGTCAGCCCTCAGTCCACCGCCCAGCCCCAAGCCGCCCCTCCCCCATTCAGCTCTCCTCCTTCCTTCCCTTCTTCCTTCCTTCCTTCCTTCCTTCCTTTGGCGCCTTCGCCTTTCGCCTTTCGCCTCGCCTCGCCTCGCCTCGCCTCGCCTGGCCCTGCTCGGCGCGGGGTCCAAGTATGACGTAGCCAAGCGGGGTCCAACACCAGACAAACCATCTCCATTGCTCCTGTGAAATGGATCATCTTTGCAGGCGAAGGACACACGGGGTGCCCAGCTTTGAAGCGTCACTCTACCTGACGGTGTAATCTACCCAAGAAGAAGCAAACACCCAACATAAAAAGGACCGATGTTTACTCAAAGAGTAGCCAATGTGCAGGCCCCAAGCACCATGTACCACAGCAGCTCCCACTGTGTCATGGTTGAGGGGAGAGGGGCTACATCCTGCTTTTCTCGGGCTATGGGTGACTGGGATTGAATTGGGTTAGGTGGGCCAAGGTTCGGTAGAGTAGAGTAGAGTAGAGTAGAGTAGTACTAGGTGCGGCTGTGATGATCGTCGAAGAGGTCAACGGCAGGAGTGAGTAAGGGTATAAATAAGTGGCACGCCGACCCCTCTCTTGTGTCTTCCTTTTTCCTTCAAACAAACCAGCTTTTCGACCACCACAATCCATCCGTTCTCCTGCTTACCTACCTACTTTCCACCTCCCCCTCCACAACTCCATCTCCACCTCCACCTCACAATGGACTTTGTCAACAAGATGACGGGCGGCAACACGGGCGGCAACAGCGCCAACGAGCAAGTTGCCCAGGGCCAGGGTCAGGGCCAGAACCAGCAATCTTCTTCCTCCTCCTCAGGCGGTGGCTTCCTCAGTGGCATCGGCGACAAGCTCAACTCTGCTGCAGGCGGCGGCCGCGAGAGCGAGAAGAATGAGGATTATCTTGACAAGGGTGTGTCCTTTCCCCCACACCCCCTCCCAACTCCCCCAACTCCCCCAACTCTGCGGTGATGGGTGTTCGTATCATGCATGCGCAAAATGTCAGAGTCGAATGCTAATGCCATCTCACGTACGACTAGGCGTCGACTACGTACAAGAAAAGTTCTTGGGCAAGGGTCCTCAGGATAACGAGGTATGTCGTCATCTTCACCACAACCACCATCCACCCCCTATCCCTCAACACCACGCAAAGCTAACCACAACTCCAGTCCGCCGTCGAGCAAGCGAAAGACGAACAAATCAGTGATATGCTCCGGGGACAATACAAGTCCGCCACGGGCTCAGAGATCCCCATCAAGGACAAGGAGACTCGTCTGGGATAGAAGACCGTTTACCCATGGGCTGAGACAGTCATGACGGATGATAACTGGCTGACGGACAACGGCTATATCTATTTCGTATGCTCGTGGGCTTGGGACTTCCCGGGGTGTGTGTGTGTGGGAGCAAGCCAGAGTTACCGGTATCTCTCGATCCTACACCGTACGGCCAGTCGGACAGCCAAAACCCTCATGAGGGATGATTATGATCCAGAATAGGCCATAGTCGAAAATGACATCTTTCAGCAACATCCCCTTTCTCCATGACGATGACTTGTCTTGCTCCCACTACTCCTTCCCCTGTCACAAAGATCAGCACCAGAACAAATCACAAACACTCCTACAACTCTGAAAATTTACAAAAGACTGTACAATTCAACGTGATCTAAGAATACTCATCATCATCATCATCATCATCGTCGTCGTCAGCAGTACTCGAAAACTTCTCGTTACATTCCCAAACGCCGCCCCATGCACGCTCGCTCGCTTGCTTTGACATTTGATCATTCCATAACCTGGTCACCTTTATTTTTCAATTCCCCACACCCAAACCCATTCCTATCTTGTTGCACACACAAAGCACATCCTCTCTTACATTGTCTATTCATGATCCACCATAACGTAATGAACCGTATGAGGGTATCTTACTTGCCAGACAAAGTGTCAACAGGGCACAATGGTTGCAGCTCTTCATACAAAAGCGAATGAGATACCTCGACAACACTATGGCGAGCTCGTGGGCGCACGGCGGATCTTTGCCAGTCTGTTGAGGACACCTAGGAGACCTATCTCGCTGTTAGTACATGTGCTCGGGCATGTGCTGCCGAAGAGAACAAAACTTACCAGTCGTGCCATTGGTAAGGGTGGAGAGAGCGACGGAATTGCGGTCGCCGACGGTCACGGTCTGCACATGCGGAATGATACCGTCATCCTTGAGTTGCTTTGCCCAGCGGAAGACATTCTCGTCACTGCGATCATTGCCGGCAACAAACAAGAATTCTGGTCTATCTGCGTCGGTGTACTTGTTCATAATGTGCTGTGCTGCACTCGCTTTGTCAAAGTCCACGGGCTCAATAACGACTGTGTCTTTGGAGGGGATAGCCTTGACTCGCTGCTGCTCGCACGCATCATTAATGTGGTTGGCACAGTCACCAGCGTGGCGGGTGGAGGAATCGTTGTCGTGGCCCTTTTCGTAGTGGAAGATGAGGGAGCAGTGCCGTTCCTCTACTCGACTATCTTCGACTCGCTCCAGGTAGTACTGCAAGATAGGCTTGACAGACTCTTTCCATTTGATAGTCTTCTCTTCGTCTGGAAATTGTATCCACTCATCTGAATTGCTCTCTCGAAGGAAACATCCGTTCTCAGCGATGAGTCCTAGGCCACGAACGCGATTGAAGATGAGTTCCATTTCGCGCACAGTGCGGCCACTCATGACGTAGACAGTGTTGCGTTCATCGGCTACGAGTTCGTTCAGGACAACAATGACGCGTTCTGTGTTGGTGAGGACAGTGTTGTTAACAGATCCGTACGAAGCGAGCGTGCCCTCGTAGTCGAGAATGAATAGACGGCGCGCTGACTGGTCATATGTAGGAGTAATCTCGCTCAGCTTCAATCGTGGTATCGACATCGTGTCACGCTTGAACTGTTCGTCGTGTACTTTGGCTAAGTGGGCGCTCAGGTTACCAACCCAAAAGTCGCCCGTGTGATGCATGACCATGTTACGGAGCTTAGCATACCGACGATCCTTCTCTTCATCAGTCATCTCCAGAGCGATCCTAAAAGCTTCAGCGATGTTGTTATAGTCCCATGGATTGACTGATAGTTCGGCACCCTCAAAGATGGCAGCACTGCCAGTGAATTCACTGAGAATCACTGGACTGTGTTTCTTGCTGCTCGCTTTTCCATCTTGGCAAATCACGAATTCGTGACACGTCAGGTTCATGCCCTCACGCAAGCTTGTGATGGCAAGTGCATCCGCTATCGAGAGCAAAGCAAGATATTGCGAAAATGCGATGTCTTGTCGCAGAAAGATAAGCGGGTTGTGTGTCAGAGTGGAGTGGACTGCATCGATGCGGGTAACGATCTCAGAAACAGTCGCCGCCAGCTCAGTGTCCTCAGTCGTAGAGGTTGCCACTTGGATCAGGACGACCTTGTCTTTCCACTCCGGGTGCTTGTTCAAGAACAACTCGAATGCTAGCAGCTTTTGCCGTACACCCCGGATGCTGTCAAGCTTATCGCGTGCTACGATGACCTTCTTGCCCTCGTAGCGTTTCTGCATAGTCTGTATCCACTCGAGTACTTCCGGCTCCTCACGTGCAAGAGCAAGCGTTCGGGGATCAATACCAATAGGTGATGCCCAAACGTTGACGAAGCGATTTTCGAGTTGCACACCATCCTCTGTAGCTTCTACAGATAGAATTCTGCTGCACGTTTGGAGGAAATGGTGGGCATATTCTTGTGTCTGGAAAGCAACGAGGTTAGCTCCCAGCATACCATCGAGCAGCTCCTTGCGAGCGGCGAGACAACGGAAGACCTCCGATGAAGGGAAGGCGGTATGTAGGAAAAATCCGATTTGGGCATCCGGAAGTTTTTGTCGGATCATATAAGGAACCAGACATAGATGGTAGTCGTGAATCCAGATGATGTCGCCACGCTTGTAATTCTTGACGACCTTGTCCGCAAAGGCTTGGTTGACCTTCACGTAGTAGACCCACGAGTGATCCAAAAAGGCCTTGCTCTTGGGGTGGTCTGGGATGATGTAGTGGAAGACGGGCCACAGGATGGTCTTGCAGTAATGGGCGTAATGACCATCGAAGTCCTTATCGCTGACAAAGACGGTCAGAGCCTCGTGCTCCTCTTCGAGCTTCTCATAGATTTCTGTCTTTTTCTCCTCATTCAAGCTGTCTGTGGGGAAGCCGATAAGACCGACAGTAAGGATGTTCTCCATACCCTTGTTCTTGACAGCGGCGCGGATGGCGTTGGAGAGGCCCCCGTTACCCTGCACAGCAGGCACTACAGAGTACTCAGTAGACCAACGTGGATCCGCCGTCAACCGTGCGACTTGCTGCGAGCCTTTTGATCGTTCCCTCTGGGCCTGTGCCCGTTCTTGTGCCTTTGCATATTCCAAGATGGTGTCTGGCGGTGCAGGCTCGGTCCTCAACGCGGGCTGATTGAACAGGCCGTGTGCACCCCACTCTGGAACATGGGCATCGCTACGGACCAGTCCTCGAGGATCAGTCGGCTTCGGGAAGTGTGTAGCGGCGCTTGGCTGTCCGGGAGTGAAGAAGTCTTCCTGCTCCAGCATGCTCAATGGCGTCTTGGGGAGCTGGATGTGCGAAGGCGGCGCCCGCTTAAGGAGACTCTGTGGTGCATCCTCATGCTTGCTTCGTGCACTGGCCACAGAGGCCTTTCGACCAATGTCACAGAGTTTCGGTGGAGTGGGTGCGGCTGGAGAAGGCTTTGGGGAGCTCGCGCGTGTTTTGACCTCGTGGAAATCAATTGTATATGGAAGAAATCTGACGTGTTAGTTGCTGGTGTCGAGGAGAAGCTCTTAAGCGAGAGCTATGTCTATGTTCGCTGGGGGATATGCTGCAGAGGATATACCTACAGAGACACGACGAAAGTAGTCATGGTGGACGGTGGTTCTGGCGCAGACGCCCGTCGAGATTAATGTTTGTCAAGCGGTGAGCAGGATGCTGACGGGTGCTTGTAGGTGAAATAGCAGGAAAGGAAGAAGATAGATTGTAGGAGTCTAGGGAAGGGTTGTATGTAGAGGTGGTATGGAAGAGAGAGGAGGTTCCGGTAGGTTCGATGGAAGCGTTTGGCTATCGGCCAAGGGAAGAGTCGCAAACGCGCGTGCTTTGGCAGCCCCTCCAGGGTAACACGGTGAGTCCAACAAGAATTGCACAGGCCTAAAGGAGCGTGCTTGACCTGGCGATGGGATTTTACTTCCTTGATTGTGCGAGCTCTCACGGCCACGGATGGCTTTTTTCTTTTTTTTCGTTGCAGCACACGTCGCTTGCAAAGACATGCCCGCGACAACGGTAGGTATGACGTAGCAGTTACTTCGGGCAGCCACAGCTACTTTAAGAGCATTGCATGGGTCTGGGTCTCACGGCAACCTGCGTGCCGCCCTTGCAAATGCAATTTGAGTCGAGTAACATCATCGTTACGATAAGGCCAAGGCTTCACTCTCTGCTGGTGTTGAGAGAGTCATCGGTGGTCATACTGTTAGCTAGTACAGCCAGCTGTCGAATTGGAGACCCTTGAACAGGTGCAAACGTTGCCCGTTATGGTTGCTGTGCACAGTCGGTCCGCCAATGGGACGGGAGACGCACCCGCACCTTGGCCCAGCCGTGCTCATGGCAATCCTGAGCATTGGATAGCATGGCTGCTTTTCTGATGCTGCACATGTGGCATGTTGGTAGTTAGTTGGCTACTCTAGGTAGTTGGCTAGGTAGAGTAATACGAAATACTGGTCCAAAGGTGGGAAGAGGGGCATGTACCTAGTTGGTAGTCGGCAACTCGGCGCAGCCCATGCCTTCCTTTTTCCTTGTCTGCGCGTGACTCACCGTCATGGTATTTGCAACAAATCTCCATGGGACTGTGTGAGAGTTCCATCTATGTACTTGTACACACCTGCATATACGGCTTCTCTGCGGTTCGCTGAGTCTGGAAACCCCCCACAATTCAACAACGGGACGTTTGCACTGTTTTGGCTCAAGACAGAAGAGGAGGGGCTCCGTACGCAGACCGTACGGTATATAGATCGACGATCTCATGAGAAGCTGTTGAAAGATGGGGAACTGATGCCGACCCTCCTAACTTATTGTGCTCGTAGGTACGTACATGGACGCTTCGCTCATCCCAAGCGTGTGACGTGCAAAGGATGACATGAATGCGTAGAGTACCGAAAACTGTACATGATGCTAGATTTTTTTTTATAGAAAATGCAGACAGATGCAGAGGATCCACAGTCCGCGCATGCTTTGTGTAACACAGTACAAGGCACTATTGTAGTATGTATAAGAGCTGATCAGCGACGCATCGAGACAATGCACGCCATCACGTGATGGCGCGATACCTCGAAAGCAGTTGATATCAAGCTGCAAGCCCCAAGCAATGACTGGTCTTGCTCCATAGCACCGACCTTTGCCTGTTAACCAGTACGATGGCCGCCATGACGGTCGCTCGACCACCAATTCATGACATTCTGCAGCGTAGATTGCTCCATCTCGACTGCAGCGCTGACCTCCAGCCCTATTCGCGAAACCTTGGCCCAGGCGTGCAAGAGAAGGCATTTCAGTGGACTAGCGATGTCCTGAGGGCCCAGCTGGAAGAGCATCGCGAGTTCCTGCTCCGTCAGCAACAACATGAACAGGGAACACTGAATCCCATTTTGCAGTCTCGCACTCCTGTAGCTCCCGGTCCAGAGAGTATGCCACGAAGTCACGATACGCACGCGCACATGCACGCCACACCATTGTTTCGCCCTGTTAGCCAGCCACAGCGCACAGCCTATCGTTCGCCAGTGGCCACCCGCTCCGAAAACGCACACTCCAATTCCTGGTAAAATAGAGACTTACCCACTGGCGCTACGCGACCCGTTAGAACGGTACAGCCGTCAGTCAGCAACGATACCAGACAATAGTTCTTTGCATCACCTCATATATAAACTAGGATTTAACTATAGAAGCGACGAGCACGAGGTCGCAATAACATACTGAAGACCTTGGACTGCAAGCAATGAAGGAAGAGCAACCGTCTTTTTTAGGCAGTGAGGCCGAATGCATCACTGATGCACCATAGCATGGCTCAGTGCTTTGCTAGCTTTATACTATGTTCGAAAGACCACGCGGCCTAAAATCTATGCATCAACCTCTATCCCCCCCTTTTTCCGACCCTCCGTTTCCATCTGCAGAAGAAAAAAGAGGAAGACCGACCCAGTGTCAAGCAGTTGTCGATTTGGGCAGACGCAGATCACGCGATACAATGACTGTGCTGCACTTCTTCTTCCCAGGGTCTCTACGAATCTGGAGCAGAGAGGGGGGTGCCTGTCTATAGATCCAAGGAGTGGTAAGGGTAGGGGACAATGGGTTATATTATTGATACCCTGGAGCCTTTGGGAGCAGCGGGTCAATACTATACATGATATGCACGACGCGCAGGGCACAATGACTCTGGGACATGTCGATATACGCTGCGCAATATCCCAGTCATTCAGAAATACACTATCATCTTGACATTGGAGACAATTGGCACATGGTCTTGCACTCTCCACAAAACTCAACCCACTACTTCCAAAAGTGACTCGTTGACCATTTCATTGATTCGTCCGAAACAATCGACTTCACGACCAAAGCTCCATGTGCGTCATATAGCTAGGACACCACATTATACACAAATACCCGCAATCTTTATTGTGGCCAAGCATTCAGAACAGCACCTGCAATTCTCGCGCACCGCAAGTTTTCCAGGTCTCTCACATGCTTCCCTCAGAACACCTTCCTAACCCGGTAGTTCTGCGAAAACATGTCGATCGCGGTGAGCACGTTCCGCCAATAACCATGCATGCAGCCAACCTCATCAAACTGTTCCGTGAACGGTCGACGCAACATGATCGCTCAAAAAAAACATCTTCGCCACGGTCGCACAACATATGCCAGACTCCACCATTGCAACCTCGCACTCGCCTCCCCTGCGTACTCACTCATCACAACGCACGCCATACCCTCTAAACTCACAACACCCACACATCACCAACACCAAAGATAATGGCACCCCGTAACATCCCCTCCTTCTATATCCTCTGGCATCTCTACCTCGAGCCTCTCCTCGCCCTTAGCGGAGCTTATTATCTCCACTTCGCCCCATCCATCTACCATTCCTACATGCCGCCGTCCACGTCCTACAACCCTACATCGCAAATCGTCTACGACCAGCTCGCCTCGTCTTACGTATTCTTCGCCTTCATAGAGGGCGTGGCACTAAGAGTTGTTGATGATTTGCCGACGTGGCGCGTTCTCGTGTTTGGGCTGGCATTATGTGACGCGGGACATTGTTATGCGGCGTGGTATGCGATGGGAACGGAAGGGGTACTGGATTGGGCGGCGTGGAGGGCGAGGGATTGGGTTGCGAATGTTTTGAATGTTTTGCCGTTGGTTGTGAGGGGGGCGTTTTTGATGGGGGTTGGTATGGGTGGCGGGAAGGAAGGAGGGAGGACGTGATGAGGGGATGGTGATCTTGGTGGACTACAGATTTCTTATAATACCATATATTGCCTGAGTATATTGCTGCGAGAGGGGACTTGTGGGGATTTCCAACCGGCGAATGAGATGGGTCGCGGTACGATTATGAGCCCTGGGTTGATGAGACCTGCAATGTCATTAAAGAGCATGGACAGCCGGCGATTCAAACTTGGTCTAATGGGACATGTATATTTTGCACTGCACGCAAGTCTCACATGATGGTAGCATCCTTCTCTTTCCGTGACCCTATCTTACTGCACGATGATTAGCAATTCCATCTGAGCGGTATGTACTCTCGTGGAACTCCTTTTCTCGAACAGTGCTAAAGTCTATATTCACCAAGGTTATGTAGTCGTCCTCCTAATCTCTGGGCTAGGGTTGGAGGCACATCAGAGCGCACAAGAACATCGAGTCAATCTTCGGCAACCTCATAGTACAGCCGAACACTAACCCATAAACCACACAGTACAGTACCCTTCCCACACAACGAATGCTACAAAATATTTGCCAGAATGAGCACATGTAGATAATCCAGGGAACCATCGTTGGTCTTCTGGATTGCTGCATAGCATGGCCAGCACACAAAATTGTAGAGCTTGCGCAGGCCGGCCGAGACGTTTTGTTGCGATTGCGACCACAGATGCGCATTCCGAGTGTTGACGTGAGAGACGATGATTTAGTGGCGTCGCAGTGGAAATATGCCGGGATCTTCCGAACAACCGATCTGACCAATGAGCGGCCACTTTTTGCCTTTTGTCATAACCGAGGCGAGCCTTGAGTGGCGGCGGTCCAACTCGATGATTGCAACACTTTGACCTTGGACGACATCGACAATCCCACACTCTCCACTCCACAGTCCCACACCATGGCTTGCGTACGCTCCTTCGCACGTCTAGCGACCAGGCGGACAGGTTCGTACACCTCCCATCGCAACATGCGGTCAACAATTGCGCTCCTTGCTAACCCTCAGCGACAGCTGTCCGACCTGCAGTTTTCGCCCGCGGCTTTGCCTCTGTCACCGACGTCCACGCACGCGACCCCATCTCCAAGGTTGGCGAGAAGATTGTCCCTGACGCAGCACGGAAGCCTGTCTCGGAGAAGGAGACTTCGACAATCAAGGAGCCAGAGCCTACCAAGGATGCGAAGACCAAAACTTTCCACATCTACCGCTGGAACCCAGATGAGCCATCATCCAAGCCAAAGATGCAGTCATATACCCTTGATCTAAACAAGACGGGGCCCATGATGTTGGATGCGCTCATTAGAATTAAGAACGAAGTCGACCCAACCTTGACCTTCAGGCGGAGTTGTCGTGAGGGAATTTGCGGAAGTTGCGCCATGAACATTGATGGTGTCAACACCCTCGCATGCCTTTGTACGATGCCCAGAGTTATTTATATATCTTACCAGCGCTGACAGGTTTGGACAGGCCGTATCCCCACAGACACAACCAAGGAATCTCGCATCTACCCGCTACCCCACATGTACGTCGTCAAGGACCTCGTGCCTGACATGACGCTCTTCTACAAACAATACCGCTCCGTCAAGCCCTACCTCCAGCGCACTACGCCCGCTCCCGACGTATGTACCTCCGTCAGCTCATTTCTCCCATTCCACTAACAATTTTTACAGGGCCGCGAATACCGTCAAACCAAGGAAGACCGCAAGAAGCTCGACGGCCTCTATGAATGCATTCTCTGCGCCTGCTGCTCAACATCCTGCCCATCATACTGGTGGAACCAAGAAGAATACCTCGGCCCTGCCGTCCTCCTCCAATCATACCGCTGGATCGCTGACTCGCGAGACGAGCGCAAGGCCGAGCGCCAGGATGCCCTCAACAACAGCATGAGCTTGTACCGCTGCCACACCATCTTGAACTGCTCGAGGACTTGCCCCAAGGGCCTCAATCCTGCTTTGGCTATTGCTGAGATCAAGAAGAGCATGGCTTTTGCTTAGGAGGTTTTATTTTTGGTCTGGTGGTAGTTATGATGGGATGAGCAAGGATGGAAAAACTCGGGGGAAGGAAGGCTAGATAAGGGGGGGAAGCTGTGTACCATTCACTGCATGTATATCGAAATTTTCATGATTGTTTAGCAGTTTGCCCTCTGCCTTTGAGCAGAGTACTTGTAACAACCTCTTTTTTATTTCATCCTCGGAGAGTTATCTGTTCTGTTAGTATACAAGGCTAAATGAGTAGCGAGTCACAAATTCTTTTTCATCAAGACTTGATCGGTTTGAAAGTATGTGGGGTGATGTTTTCATCGAATGGCGGGGCCGTTGGATTTGGCGATGGAAGAAACGTCGAAATATTTGATGTGTCGATGCTCCCCACGTTCATTCCAGCGACGATCCAGTCTTATTTGGAACTTGGTTTTAGTAGGCAGTAGGTAGGTAGCTAGGTTATGTAGCTAGGTAATACCTCTCCCTACCAACGCTTGCCAGATCAACAGGGTCATTGGAAGGGAGTTGGTATTAGTATTCCGCCTGGCTACTGTGCTAGGTACACACCTTGAACTGTCGGGGAGAGGAATCAGGGGAACATTGATTAGCACGTTACATAGGACAATCGTCCAGATCAAACCGCGTGCAGACTTTTCCATGGACTTGCCAGGTCTGGAGAACTTGATGGATATCACAAAGTGCGGAACCATGCCGTTGATGTCCCCATAATACTGAATCTATGGCGCGCGTCTCACGATTTCTGGATATAAGTAGGTACATAATATAGCTATGGCTGGGAAGCTGGGGGAATAACAATCTAATAGTACTCAATCAACTCCGAACTCCACAGCCACGTTCCAGAGTCCAATCAGTGTCTCCCTCCACCCCCACCCTGAACACACGTACACATGCACATAACACTCCCCCGCAAATTGCAGATTCCTCTACCAGATAAGCATCATCCCATGAAGCTTACCCAGCAAGCCCCTGTGCCTCGTTCTTACTCATGCCAGCATGCAAGCATTGCCGCATATCGGGATTGGACGCCTGGCTGCTGCCTTACGAGCGCATGCGCTGCAGCACCTGTTTTGCTCAACTCCGATGTCTGTATGTATGACTCTGACACTGCTGGTCGCGTTGAGATGAGTGGGAGTGGGAGTGAGCAAGGGATGTGAGGAGTCATATGTGAAGTGAACTCCGAGTGTTGATGAGCTCTGGATCGGTGTGGCATGCGATGGAGTCATTCAGTGCTGTGGTGGGCTGGATATATAAATGCATGAGGTGGCGTGTGCTGTAAAAGGTGGTATGAAATAAAGGGATATTTTGTTTGCTTGAACGTCTGGCTTTTACTTGGTTTTGTTGAAATTCGATTATTTTGAGGGAAGAGAAATTGGAAAAAGGGGAATCGTCAAAGGGAGTTAATCTCTGTTGGAAAAATCTCAAACATCTATCGAGGATCATAATCAGCCATGTCGTCGAAAAGTCCTTCCAACACTGCCGCGCGCACCTCGACATCCTCTTTGCCGCAATACGCGGACGCAGCGACGCCGCCGGCGTATACGGTGGAAGATGCTTCCTCTGTGGTGTCGAAGGGTTCGACTTCGAAAAGTATGTTGCGAAAAATGTTTCATCGGGGTTGTGAGTTTTGCCTCGTGTTTTGTTCTTCTTTCCCATGCATGGAGAGTTTACTGTATAGCTTACTGACGACTTCTCTGGTAGCAAACGATGCGGTCCCAAGCCAGAGTAACAAGAGGCAGGAGGAGGCTGAGGCCAGGGAACGCAAGAATGCTGTGCTTGCTATGTATTATGCTACGCGATGATTTGTGATGGGATTGTCGTAGTTGGTATGACCTATGACCAGGGTATATCGCGAGCAGGAAAGACAGCTACATTTCTGTGAGATGATCTTCTTTGTCAAGATCCTAATACTGTTAGTTTATTAAAAGCACAGGTCTATCTTCCACCGTTCAAAAGAGATCCTGTGGTACGTAATCAGTGCTTATGCAATCTGGTAATTACTCAATGTGCTCACCGGATTATTCCACGTCGCATCATGGAGCCAGTCCAGAAAATCTTCCGCCTGGGTGGGAATCGGTTCCAGACCGTCAATGGTCGGCATATCGAAGAAACCCTGGCCAGATCCCGCAAGATCTTCACCATTCCCCAGTGCGCCATTCACAGGCGGTTCGTAGTTCAGTACCTCGTCAAGAACCTTGGCTAGCATCTTGTTCAACTCGCTACATAGTTTGGAATTGCCATCACCCGGCAGTACAATCCACTCAAGACAGGAGGTCAAGACGGATAAGTTGCGGATGACATCAGCACGGGTGACGGTGCTGGGGAGTGAAACGCCTTCGATTGTGCATCTGCGTAGCTCCAGGGCAAGCAAGCCAGCAGCGGGGAAGCAGTAGAATAGTACAACCGTGGGAAAGTGCCGCCGAGTTTCGTACACCCTGTTATTTGGCTTGGTCGAGACAAGCGACGTGGATAACAACTTTAGCGAAATCTCCAACAATACTGGAAGCGCTTGTTGAGTTTGTCGGTGAAGCAGTCGTTGTGTTTGGAAGAGCAGGTGCAGGTATTCCAGGTACGCTGAAATCAGACGTACTGTCATGCCGGCACCAAGGCCGATCCAAGCCTCCTCTTCGCTGTAGGTTTCGTATCGAAGGTGTGTTGGAAGCGCTTCCCACCATGCTGTACATTCTGCTGATATCGCCCTGGCTCAATTAGTTTCTTTATACGCGAATCACGTGACACTATACCTACTGGATATTCCGAATTACATCGCTGTCCTTTACTCCAGCCAGACTCTGCTCCAAGAGCCTCTCCTTGAAGACGGCAAGTTGGCATCTCACTCTGATGTAGGAAGCTGGATAGGTCCTTCTATCCATATTCCACCCCGCACTATCTAGCCTGGAGAGCTGTTCGTTGAGTAAATTGGGGTCATCCGACGCGATAGCCTCATCGCTAACGTCCAGCTGTTGTCGCCGATCGCTATATCTCCAGCCCATCATAGGTGGACGACCAAAGAAGACGGCTAATGTCTTGTCTGATCGATATACTGCAGCGTAGATTCTTCTCCGCGACTCGCGTAGGAAAAGAGGTTCTTCATTGGCTCCCTCGGTGAACTCGCCTTCGCAGTGCATACCACTCGCATAGAGTGCGGACACACTGTCCCCCATGCGTCTCCAGGTTCCATGATCTAGTAGTTGTCAGCTGTTTGCTAGGGGAATCACAAGAAAACCCGCGCTAGCACACTGTTTGAACCATACGGGAGACCGCA